TTCAGGATTTCCTAGAGCAGCTTTAATAAATAGCTCTGGATTGACCACCTTCAGACTTCATATTACATGAGAAAAAATGAACTCTTATTTGGAACAGCCACCATGCATATTTTTGTTATAAGCAACCTAATGCAATTCAAACTGATAAAACTGTCAGAATCAAATGCTGGGTTTTCAATTACATAAGTCAATGATTTCCCTATATTGTTTAAGCCTGGGTCCCCCAACCTATGGTGAGTTGTATAATTATTTCATTATATATTACAATGTAATAATAATAGAAATAAGGTCCACAATATATGTAATGTGCTTGAATCATCCCAAAATTATCCCCCCTCTCTCCGATCCGTGGAAAAATTGTCTTTCATGAAAATTGTCCCTGGTGCCAAAAAGGTTGGGGACTGCTGGTAAGCCATTTTGAACTGAATTTCTATTTCTTGCAACCAAGGGCAAGCACCGTAAGCTGATGGAGTTTCCTTCCTAAGGAAGGGGTAATATCTATGGCTTAAGTCCCTAAAGGGCAAGGACCATGTATTATTCATCATAACCTGCTGCCTAATTCTTATGAATCTTTAATAACAAGTAACCACAATTATAGAGAAATCTTTCCAAACTAACAGTGTTATCTCACTTGCATAAGGTTACTCAACTGATAAATCAGAGGAAATAAGAAATGACACATTCTTACTCTTCTTTAAACATACATGACACATACTGACCAAATTCATTGACATGATAAAGCTAAGAAACTACTTTTAGCATATCATGCCTTCAACTTCCTGTCACCAAATCTTCAAATGTAGGTATATCTACTGCTTTCACCCTTTCCTTCTTCCTTCCTTTTACACTATAGTAGAGTGGTTTAGAGTGGTTAAGAGTGAGGGCTTTCTAGTCTACCGATACAGATTCAAATCTTAGATCTATTATTTACCACCATTTATGTGGCCTCATGCAAGTTACTTAATTTCTTTGAGCCTCAATTTTGCTCAAATGCATAATGGAGGTAAACAATACAAACCTCAGAGGGTTCTTGTCAGAATTAACAGAGATAATGTTTGTAAAATGCTAAGCACATGTATAATATATAGTAATTCTTTACTAAATGTTACCTATTATTTGTAGTGTACAGCACAAGAGGTATCCTTTCTCTTGTCTAAGGCTAATTTTTACCTTACCTCTGGATCCCACCCCCCTTCTACTTCCACAGGGACTTACAACATTTTAAAACAAATGGCTTGAAGGAATTTCATGTAAAGACATAGAGATTATAAGCAACAAAGTGTAACTACCCCCAAAATTGGCTTAGTCAAAATTAATGGAAATATAGGTATGTATTAAATTTTGGGGAACAGAATTTCCACTTTATTTTCTAAAATTAAGATTAAATAATTCACATGCTATTTAAACAAGTGTTAATTAGAGTAGAGAAATAATGCCTTTCTTTTATCCATGTTTTTAAGTCACTTTTAATCAACAATAAGATTAAATTTAGGCAGGATTTAAATTTTTCTTTGGTTAAATATAAACAAAAGGATACACCTTGATTACAAAACTCCATTTCAATATTATAAATGATAATAATTTGTGGTTTTATCCTTTCTCTAATTGTGTAATGCAGTGCAAAAGGATATGACTTTGCCTGCTGTTCTGGGAGGGTTCTGAACTTTTACCAATTAAAAAAAGGAACACGTAGATTTTGAAGTAAAGAAATAAATGGAGCCATTACATTACTTTGTTATTTCAATATAACTTTCCTTTAAAAATTCATGAAATATTCTTTTATTATTGTTATAATGTTTATGCAATAAGTTAAAATTGAAAAAAGAAAAAATAAACAAAATATTCACAAAATAGCTTCCAATTTTCCTTGATTTACGCCTTCCTAAGGGACTATGACATTATATTGGATTTTATGTAATATGTTTATAAAAATTAAATGCCCAAATTTTAATTATATGCCATTTTTTTAAATAGAAGAAACTCTTTTAGATGCTTAAAAGAAACTACAATTGCTTTGTGAGTACTTACTTTTGGCTTGCTCTGTCATCAATATTACAAAACCTTTCTGTGACTATCAGAAGCTTTCGGTATATTGTTAAGCAGTAATGCAAATCCAGGGCATGTTCTCCTCTTTCTGTTTTCATATTACCAAACCTAACCAGGCATACTGTAGCTGTCCAATTCAGAAAGTACTGTTACTGTATAATCTGAGACTTCTGCAACCATATATTTTAAAGGACTCATCGAGCCCTGAAAGGCAAATGCTATCATTCAAGTTCTAATTACATGCTACCTGGGTTTTACAGAACAGAAAAAATAAATAAATAAATAAATGAATACTTTACTTCCTAAATACATTTTTGACCAAAATAAATGTCCAAAATATTTTCTGAATGTATCATTGTACAATAATTCAAGCACTGCTCCATTCAAATTATGTTCTTCTTTCTCCTGATGCTGCTTATACTTGATAAATTGGTCAATAAATGCCAAGTCAAATATTCAAGTAAATATATTTTCATTGTTATTGGCAGACATATAATTAACTCTGAGAATAAAAGAAACAAGAAATCAATTTATGATTACTTCTTTAGTTCTTCCCATTAGTCATTTACATTATAATTGTTGTTCCACTTTTAAAATCTTTATACACACACACATCTTGACTATAATTATAAATCAAATTACTTCAACTACAAATTAGTATTGTGTGAACTGTGAACCTCATATGTTAATTTTATTAGTAAGATACAAATGTATTATTACCCATGTATATGAGCTGATTAAAAAGCAATGCACATTTATGAGCCTATATTAATTAGTAATTTCAGCAAATGTTTCTAAACAATGTTACGGACTTGCTCTGTCTTCTCTCTAGTACAACAACTGAATCAACATTCTTTTTTTAAATATGTGTATATGTCAACAATTTACTTTTCCATTTTCAGGCAAAACAGAAAAAAATATTACAAAGAGTAAACATTTTTTCAAAAATTTATTATCTGTCAGGTCAATATCTTCACCAATCCAAGAAAAATATATTTTGTGCAAAAACTTACTAAGTGATCTTTTAAAAATATTGCCCTAAACTAGAGGCAAAGCTTCATATTATTATTATACGTGAATGTCATAAACAAAAAAGTTTAAGATAAGCTCAAGAACTCGGCTTTAATAAAATATGCTGCCATTACTTGATTGCTACTTTCACTATGATAGTTTGATTGTTTTTCAATTATATGTCATGGACAAGTCATTTAACCTCTCAGTTTCCTCCCCTATAATGAAGGGAGAATGATGGTGTCTCATCATAAGATGCCTCTTAGGACCAAAGGAGTTAATATAAGTGAAGTATTTACAACTGTGTCCAGCATATACTAAGGGCTCATATTTTACATATTACTTCTATTAGCTTCTAGTTACCAAGACTGAAAGTATCTTAACTCTTTTTCAAGAAAAAGAAAGCTAAGTCATGACATTCTTATTGCTTTGCCCATCCTACCACCTTTTAGCATTGCTGGTAGCAACTAGTTTATCTGCTATTCACAGGCAAAATAGGAGCTAGGGCCTTGCCGAATAATAGTTCCAAATTCTAGTATAAAACACTCTCTCTTTTATCTATCACACTATTAGTATTCAATTCATTCAATCCACTAATGTATACTATATGCTAGGTATTGGATACAGGCAGTGAGAATAAAAGATGGTCAGAAACAAATTCCAGACATGTTGCTCACAAAATAGTGGGGGATACAAACAAAAGCACAAGTATGTATTTGTTGTTTAATTTAAAAATTTCACCAAGATGTCCATGGGAGGGCTTTATGAGTGATGTTTGATTAAGACTTGGAAAGAAGAGCTGAAGCTCACCAGGTGGAGAAGGGTTCTATGATTAATTTATTCACAAACAAAAAAAAATGGAAATTCCTCATAGTGTTAAATTCAAATAGACATATCTGAAGCAAACAGACTTCCTCAAACAGAATTCCCATTACACGTTGCTTGTTTAGTACGTTGTTTGGTGTTGAATAAATATTTTTTAAAACTACCCATTTATGTTACCCATAATAGCAAGGCTTTAATTGTGACACATTTAAATGACGTTCTTAGCTTCCTGTCTGTTCCCATCCTACCCATGAGCAGTCAGAATGATCTTCTCAAACCACTTTTCTTTTTTTTTTTTGGTAGAGACAGTGTCTTCCTATGTTGCTCAGGCTGGCCTCAAACTCCAGATCTCAAGTCATGCTTCCACTTCAGCCACCAGAGTAGCTGGGACTAAAAGCACATGGCTACCTAAAACCATTTTTATCACACTGCTCCCAGATCGAAAACCCACAATGGTTTCCTCCTATTCCCAGATATCAGCCCTTTATTTTGACTAGATTCCTCTCCCTCTCTCTGGAATGCTTTCCTCCTACCACTTCTCTTTGCCTCTCCAAAATTCTACCCACCCTTCAAAATCCTTCTTCAAGAAGCCATCAGACTCTCCTGCTTCTATCTAAAACACAGAACTTTACAAATGCTGCAAAAAAGAGAGAAACGCTAGCGGAAAAGGTATAATTTTAGATGAAAGACATGTCCAAAATGTGGCAGACAACTGAAAAACAAAAGGCACAAATTCATTTGAAAATTTCATTCAATTGTTACATCAACATAGCACACTTACATTATTATTCAAAATTTATATACTGTATCAACTACTTATTAAATAATTCTTCCTCCAATGACAACTTTACTCTTTTAAAACCTTAACCATCTCACAGAATGGATGATGAATTCTTCATTATTCAACTAGTTTCTCTAGAGAAAATTCATATTAGAACTGAAGGTGTCACTGGATTCAGAACTTTAAATATGATCAGGTAACATGGAACTATGCTAGCCAGCATAGTAGTAGTGTGCTTCTTACTATAAGGACAACTGGTGAAGTAGTGAAATATCCCCAAAAAGTTAAGACAGATTTTTTTTCCAAGTGATAATCAGCATGCTCTACATGTCAATACCTGAGATTCCAACTCCATTTTCTCTTCATTCAGCTTCTCTGTTGCTTTCTTAATTTTTTCACGACATCTATTTATTTCGGATCTTACTGTAATACAAATTCAATCTTTAAACACATTAATCTTTCTAACGTCCAGATTTCGGTAGCATTTGATAAGATACCTTTCATCTGTCTTTCCCTCCAAAGGGCAAGCAAGCTGCCCTAACTGCTCTGACTACTACCTCTGGGATTTCCCTCTGCTCCAAGCACCCAGCTCCAGAAGACAAAAGGCCCCCCAGGCAAAGGACAGAAGCGCCCCGACCTTCTCGCATCAAACGGCGACTCTCCTCAGCCCGATGCTCCGTGAAGATGATGTGCTGAAATAAGGACTCTAAGCTCATCTCAGGCCCTGGGCTCCTGCGGATCCTTCTCTCGTGGTTAAATATTTTATAACCAAGCCTGAGTACACTGGAAAGCACAATAAAGAAGAAGGATTGTTCAAGGACTACTCCCAGATGGACCAGTCTTTGTCCCTGTCGCCTCTCCACAGCGAGGACGGAGCCGGACCCGGTCAAAGCCCCGCGTCAAAGGGACGCGCGTGCCCTTGGCCCTTGTTTCCCAGGTCCAATTTACAAAACCCGGCTTTTCTCTCTCACGCCCTGAGACAGATTCAGGCTCTGCGTTTCTCGTAGGGGAACGCAGCTCCCCCGGCCTCGGCCTCGCCTCTCTGTGGGTTTGTCTTTTGCTCTGAGGGCAAATAAAAATGGAGGCTCAGGATCTTGGCTAAGGGTCTAGGCAGCAGCCATTTCCCAGCAGGCTTTTAATCCCAGTCCCCTCTCATTTTAGGGAGAAGGTCTTCAAAGTGCTCTCTCAGCAAAAGGGTACTTGCTAACAATACCTCTCCAGAGAAACTTTTCCTAAGGCTATAGCCAGAAACTCAGGTCGGCCTTGCCTTGTGAGAATTACACTATGGCGGCTGGCTGGGCCCTTCGGGTGGTCAGGGTGGTTTCCTGTGAGCCACGTGACTCATCCCTCCCCCACCCCCCCAAGGTCTTAGGCCCTATCAGGATTGGGGTGCTCAGTGTGCAAGGCACAAATCCTTTGGCATTGTAAAGTACAAAGCACTCAGAATTCTAAATATAAACTTTTGCGAAGTCGTATCCTTTGACGATGGCAAAGGCTGCTATAAATGTGCAATGTCTGACATTCCGCCTTAATCATTCCTTTGTAATCAGGGCATATCTTTTTTGTCTGCTTTAAAATTAATCATTGCCTTTTGTAATCAAGCTGCAGTAATATTAACACTTCAATATCTGCGCAATATGTGTCATAGACCAAAGTGGTTGCTAATTAAAGCTTAAACATGAAAGGCACCTTTGGGACTTTTGTGTGGGATTTTTTAAATCAAAAATTAAAATATTTTTAGTTTTAGAAGGTCGAAATGTTGACATTATAATAAAATTTGTCTTTATTTCTGAATGTAAAATTGACATTGGTTAAACTTTAAAAAGTAATTTCTAGTTAAACTGGATTTAGAATTAAGTAAAATAAGGTAAATGTAAATTCTGTCATAGCACAATAGGCTTAATTAATATTTCATTAATGCTTTAGTATAATCAGTTATAAATTTTAACCTATTCCAGATTTCCACCTTTAATTTCCTTCTACCCAAGTATTCATCAAACTTAGTTTTTCAACTTTATTATAAAAGAATGCATACTGAAAAGTATACAAAATAGAAAAGAACTCCCCATAAGCATATCATTTAGAAGCAAATATTAACATTTTAGCTATTGCCTTCCAGGTAGTCCTTTTCACCTTTCATTATTCCTTTATAAACTTGAAATTATTGTGAATAAATAATAATTTATTATTTGCTGGTGCCAAGCACTATTCTAAACACTTTATATCCTTTTGAGATGATTTTTTAATTATTATTTTCATAGTGTCATTGAGGAAACTGAGGCACGGAACAATTAGGTATCTTGCCAAGATTGCATACCTTGTATATGGCAGTGAGAACTGAAACCAAGAATTCTGGGATCTGAAGACACGAATTTAATTTTGGATTCTGCTCTTTTTTTCTTCTTATTACATCACAGGTATTTTACCATTTCATTGAAAACATTTTATAAATTCATTTTTATAACTCCATAATCCTCCATCATCCAGATGCATATATAAAATTTAGATATACTGAAATAAATCTCTTTTATCTGTTCAAGGATGGAAAACAAAGCTGAAATTGTGGTTTGAACCATTTTCTTTGAGCACTTATTTGAAGGCATATAAACCATACCACAGCGGTCATCAAAGGAGAGGGCTTCCAGAAGATAAATTATATTACTAATTAATATCACTCCCTTTAGAATTATTTCCCATGGACTTGCACAGGGAGCATCCTCACAAGGAGGCTGGTTTTCAAAAGCATGCTGCTATTTAACATTCCAATTTTATTAGTTACACTCAAATTCACATTTATTATTTAACATGCTCTTTCTGTACTGAAACTTGGCAGAGTAAAATTTGGGCAGCCTTTGGGGATCCCAGTCGCCTCACTTACCCAGGAGTATAGAAAGAAGAGAGAGTTGCTGGAAATTCAAGAAAGGAGGTATGGGGAGAAATGGCTTCTTCATCTTCTGCAGTCATCTTCCCACCCCAGAATATTGTGGTGCTTTTAAATCCCAAATTAGAATCTTCTTAGAGGTACGACAACTATCCACTATAGACATTAACAGTATTTTCAAATTTTGTTTGTTGAAGCAAACATGATTATGCATGCCCACAATTGAAATTTCAAGTGTTTCATAATAATAAATAAAAGTAACATATCAAGATATTAAAACATTGCAATCATATATCTAAATTTACTCATATTTTCTCTAGGGCTATTTTTTCTTAAAGATATACATGCCAATTATATCTTAAAATGTTCAGAGAAAGAGTAGCATTACCTGAATTTATGCCAAATAAAAACAGTATTTGATGTGGTAAAACTCAGGCATACTACTTTCTGAAAATGCATCTTATAAGTCTGAACAAAGAAGAAATGATTCATTCAACAACTGTTTAATGAGTTTCTGCTATTCATTCAAGAAGTATTATTGAGCATCTCCTATGTGCCTTATTAGAGAAACAACAAGATTTAATAAAAGCAGAGCTACATAAAAGTATTTTTCTTCCTCCGGATATTTCTAACCTCATTGGAGAATTATTATATTTTTCAGCATTTTGGCAGCAGTATAAACAACTGCTTTCAGATGTTTCAACAGATGTTCTTTAGAAAGAAAACCAATTATTTGCATTATGATATCCACATATGATTCTCAGATCTAAACTTCCATCTGTACATGTTTCATTGAATTGCATACCTATGGAATATAAAAGTTAAGATCACTCATTTTCTTTCAACCTGAGACTTTTGTTCATAATAACACTAGCACCTGGGTTATTGAGCCATCGATAATTGTTTTGCTAGAAGGCCTTATATAAGGCTATATTGCTCTTGTGATTTAAAATGCATTTCCTCTCCTTTTTTAGATTGATAACTTCCCTAAATTCTAAACCAGGCTTGCAAATACCCACTAGCCCAGGGCATATATATTGCAATGGGAAGAAGAAAAGTAATTCATTTATTTTATGTTTTTCTTAGGGCATCTGCCACAAAGAAAAAAAAATTATGTGGGTTCAACCAAGTTTAACAACCATTTATTGAGTATCTACTAAGTGTAAAACTCTCTTCTGGGTATTATGGGGGATACAAGTTGAAAAGATACAAGCCCTGCCCTCCTGGAGGTCATAATCTATCAAATGGGACATAGCATGCACAAATAACTCTTAGGCCTGCTGTGTTTAAGAGCTCCATCCTGTGCTATGGGAAGATGGGGGGAGGGAGAGAGAATAAATCTGATGTAGGTGATCTGGGAAAACTTATCAGTAGAACATAAAATATGAGCTGGGTTTTAAAGGAGGGTGCAATATCAATAGCTACAAAATAGGGTAGAAAAAAACAGAAAGTCAGATGGGGATGGCATTTGGATGGTGTTTAACATTTTCATGGATGCAGTGGAGGACCACATAATGTTTTGGAGGCAAGTGGCTTTATCAGCCAGATAAATTTTACTGTCATAGTTGCTTTATGAGATCAATTTATGCCAGTGGGTTAGAAGCACTAAAAGAGAAGAAACTAACATGTAGTATGTAGAATACCTCAGTCCATTCAGGCTGCTTTAATAAAATACCATAAACTGGATAGTTTAAATAGAGTGGAAATATATTCCAGTTCTGGATTCTGGAAAGTCCAAAATCAAGGTGCCAGTAGATTGACTGTCTGGGGAGGGCCCCTTTCCTGGTTCATAGAAGGGGTCTTCTTGCTGAGCCCTCACATAGTAGAAAGAGCTAGGTGGCATTCTGCCTTCTCTTTTACAATTTCAATCATGAGGGCCCTGACTTCATAACCTAATCACCTACCCAAAGCCCTAACTCTTAGTAATATCACCTAAGGAGTTAGGATTTCAACTTATGAATTTTGGAAGAACACCAACATTCTGATCATAGCATTCTTTATGTGCCAATCACCATCTGAGACCTTGACATATATTAATTCTTTTAATTAACCCAACAACTGTGAGATCAACGCTTTGGTTATTCAGGGGACTGAGGTGAGAGAGCTAATAACTCATCCAAGGTCCCAGCTAGGAAGTAGTAGAATCAGTATTTGATAGGGTTATACCCTGATCTATTAAGGCAAACCCTTACCCTTTACTGCCTCTAAAGACTAGAGGCAAGAGAAAATGGGACTATTTCAGCAGCTGTGTTTCATTTCAAGGCAGATACATTTTATAAAAAAATGCTTATTATCGAGATTGATATTTTTTCTGAAGATATTTTCAGACTTCTAAAACTTGGCCGGGCGCAGTGGCTCACGCCTGTAATCCTAGCTCTCAGGGAGGCCAAGGTGGGTGGATTGCTTGAGGTCAGGAGTTTGAAAACAGCCTGAGCAAGAGCGAGACCCCGTCTCTACTATAAATAGAAAGAAATTAATTGGCCAACTAATATATATAGAAAAAATTAGCCGGGGATGGTGGCACTTGCCTGTAGGTCCAGCTACTCGGGAGGCTGAGGCAGGAGGATTGCTTGAGCCTAGGAGTTTGAGGTTGCTGTGAGCTAGGCTGACGCCAAGGCACTCACTCTAGCCTGGGCAACAAAGTGAGACTCTGTCTCAAAAATAAAATAAAATAAAATAAAATAAAACTTGAATTAGTTACGCAATGCATCTGTAATGAATTAGAATAAAATGTGATTTAAGAAAAAATAATTGAGAATGGGTCATGCCTTGTTGTAAATGCTTATTTAACCAGCCATATCATACATATAATACATAAGGCTAAAAATACAATTCATATGCAAAGCATTATATTTCTTTACTAATATTTATATTAGTTTCCTAGGGCTGCTATAACAAAGTGCCACGACTGAATGTTCTAGAACACAAATTTATTCTCTCACAGTTCTGGAGGCTAGAAGTCTAGAATCAATGTGTCTGCTCAGCTGGTTCCTTCTGGGAATTCTTAAAAATCTATTTCTTGCCTCTTTCAAGCTTCTGGTCCTTGCTGATAATCCTTGGGATTGTTTGGCTTGTAGATACATCACTCCAATCTCTACCCCTGTCATCACTTGGAATTTTCCCTGTGTGTCTCTGTCTCTTTCTTTCTTCTCCTCTCCTTATAAAGATACCAGTCATATTGGATAAAGGGCCTACCCTATTGAAGTATGATCTCATCTTAACTAATTGTATCTGCAAATGATCCTATTTTGAAATATTGCCATTTCTGAGGTGCTGGGAGTTAAGACTTCAACATATCTTTTTTTGAAACATAAGTTAACCCAAAACAGACATTAAAAGTTAAGTTGAAAATAGTTATGATTTTTAAAACTAAAAATTTTTAAGTAAGATTGATTTATTTCTATCACGGAACATTTTTAGTGGTTTAAGGGATTTTAGAAAACATTTTGTTTTATAGGTGTTAACATTGAGGCCAGGGAGGTTGCTAAATGTCCTCAATGTTGCACATGCAGTTAATGTCAGAACTAGGTCTAGAATTCCTTCTTAATTTTTTCTGTTCCCATGAAAGATCTTTTTTGTTCACCTCTGGCTTTGAACCACTCCAGTTAAAGCAATTCCTTTTTAATCTGTTTTCTATATTGAATTTTCTTGTAAAGAGTTTGAAGAAGGAGTATAACAACCAGGGTGTAGGGCTGGGCTGGGGCAGCTCATCTACTGCAGGGACCCTTCCCCATTAAGGCGATTAGATATATGATGATAGATGGAGATACTGAGAAAATGCACATGCATACACACATATATAGATACATGTATGATGAAATAAATATATAAGTATAAATGCCTAAAGGTGTCAATTTTATTTCCAATAGTCTTATTCTTTTACCATAAAGATGAACATAAACTGCCAATTCTTAATCACTGATTAAGAAAAAGCAATATTGCATGAAGAAATACCATTCACTTTAGGAATCATTAAATATCAAAATATTTGGAAGAAAAATCTGTAGTGTAGATGGTGAACATGGATTTTTGCATTGACTAGTCCAGAGCTTAGCACAGGGTCCAGAAAGGCTGTCGCAGGTATCTTACCTAAGATAGTAGATTGTCAGCTACAGAAAACAAAAAACAAAACTTGGAAAGCACTATTCCCCACTGTGTATAATTCATTTGCTTACTCAATAAATATTTATTGGGTACATACTGTGTATACAACAAGTATGAATTAGGCATTACAAAGATGACTAAGACAGTGGACTTGAAATCTGGTTGTACCAAGTTGTATTAATAGTTTCCATGACAATAAATTTAAGTGGTTTGGGATTACATAGAAAGAAGTAAAAGAGAAATTTAAGACAGTTTTTATGCTTACCAGTTATTTGTTTTAGTCATTAATTTATTCTTTGCCCACCTAATACTTACATGGTTACCTACCCACTAAATAATTGACTTTTAGTTGTTGAGCAGGTCTAAACTTAAACCAACAGTTAACATATTCTACTCTATCTAGTCCTCTTATTACAGTTTCTGTGAATGAAGATTT